GAGACAGCCTGCACAGGACCAGTGCCATGGATCTCCTTTGAGAGGGGGACTGCTCCACTCATCCGCTGCCCCAAATCTCCAAGTCCCCGCCTTCTGCTGCTCTGGGAATGTCCCTTCACCTGCCATTGTGGGTGTGGGTGGGTGAGGGTGAAGAAAGGCAGAGGCAGCCAACAGCTCTGGATATAGCCCTAGTCCTCCTCTCCCCTCAAACCTCAAGTTCAGTCACTTGGCATTTTAGATGGATCTGTCGCTGTCCACAGGGTCCAGGCATCACATTGGACACAACAGGCTCATCCTGGCCGCATGTCCCATCTTCTGTGACTTCTCCACGCTGTACCCTCAGTGTTCTCTTATATCACTTTTCTTCTCTTTTTATACCCACCATCCTCGGCCTTCATCCCACACCCGTGTTCGAAGCACTTTGTAATGTCACTTAGCTGTCCTTCTGGTTTTATCCTTCTTCGTATTTCCCCTTCTAACACCCCCTTCCAATCTCCACCAGTCTTCCATGGTTCAGGAGTTAAGGCTTTAATGCAGCACTTCCAGAAGACTCAAGTTCAAATCTCAACATCATGTCAGGCAGCTCACACCTGCCTGTAACCAGCTTCAGGGCATCTATCTCTCTCTTCTGTCATCCTTGTGTACCCTCACATATGTGACATACATGTACATAGACACACTCACGCAAATGTAATACAAGTAAAAACATAAACATAAAAATGGTGTGTTTCTCTACTTTGGCTATTTACTTTTTTGCTTTGGCCAAAGCATATGGTATATCAACCATCTAAAATATATAGTCCTTACTTGCTGCACATTCACAGTCCTAATATATATATATATATATATATATATATATATATATATATATATATATGTATATATATATGTGTGTGTGTGTGTGTATGTATGTATGAATGTATGTATGTATGTATATGTATATGTATATATAATGTCTTCTATTATGAGTAAAATGTAGGTATCATTTCCTCTCTGGTGTCTCAGAAAGTCCCCATGCTGAAGCTGTGATACCTGTGCTCTTCCTGTTGGGGTGAACTGTAGCTCAGTAGCAGGACTAGAGGGAGATTCCGGGCTTTGAAGGCTGTCTGTGGCCCCTGTACCCCCAAACCTAGCAAACTGGGCAGAGGTTTGTTGAAGGAATGGACTGAACTGTGCCTCTGACAAGGGAACTGTACATATGAAGAGCCAACACCTGGTGGCGCTGTGGTCACAGCATTGGGAAGGAGTGCCTTCTTCTAAACAGAGTTAAACCTGACAGTTTATACTGTTGTGACCCAAGAGTCAGACACACTTTAACCGGGGTTGTGATGTCAGTGAAATCATGACATTATATTTGGAGTCGGCAGCGGGATGTGTTATTCAAACCTCAGAGCTCTGAGTACGTCTCGCCCTTCTTTATTGGAAATACTATTCTCCCCTGCCTTCCTCCCAAACCCCACATCTTTCAAACTTAATTTTTCCTGTTCTGCTTTAATAAGAGGCTTCAGAATTCAGTTTAAGATTCTATGCCATTCAAGATCTTGATTCTCCAAGTTACCCCCCGCGCGCGCACACACACACACACACTCCTAGCTTTGAAGAGGTCATAGTTAATATTGGCTGTTTATTGATGGATCAAGTGACTAAATGATGAAAAATGACGGTTAACGTGAGCATTTCCTGTATCATGCTTAACTGTAATCCTCCCACCCCGAATTTATCAAGTCATAGCTGCAAGTGTTACAGCTCTGGAGGGAAAGGTATCCTGACTTGTTAGGAAGTCAGGCTATCCCTACAGCTGTGAAGGGAGGTATCCTGGAGACCTGCAGCTGTGAGGAGATAGGTATCCTGACTTGTTGGAAACTCAGGCTATCCCTACAGCTGTGAAGGGAGGTATCCTGGAGACCTCCAGCTGTGAGGAGAAAGGTATCCTGACTTGTTGGGAAATCAGGCTATACTTGAAACTGGGGTATGGTGGGGGGTGGTCTCCCTGCAGCATGTAGAAATCCTACTTCTCTCTGACAGCACCTTACAGCTGAGCTCTGCTCTGCCCTTCCCTCCAAGGTGGCTTCCCAGTAGAGATATCTTTCTTCTGCTGCTCTGCTCCCCTACAGGAATTTCCCAGCAGAGGCATCCCTTGCTTTTCAGCTCTGGCCCAAGGTGTTACTTCTTCTGCTTCAATCAGCTAAAGGGGAAACCGCGGCAGAAGTATAACAATCTGCTGGGCAGCTCCTGGGAAAAGTTACTTCTGCTCTGGCTCCCTCCCCCTTAAGGGAGCTTCCCAGCAGAAGTATCCATTTCTTCTTCTGCTCTCCTCTGCTCCCAAGGGAGATTCCTCACTGCTCCTCACTGCTCCTCACTGAGGGAAGATCTTTCTTTTAAGAAAGAGATTTATTAAGGAAGGAGGAATCCAGGAGAGTGGCTGCCTCTGTGGGGGTAGAAAATGACAGCTGACAACTGGCCAGGCAGAGGGGCTTATATAGGGCTTCTGAGGGGTGGAATTTTTTTCCCAGGGAGAAGATTTTCTGCACAGGGATTGGTTGGTTTTCCTGATCAGGGATTGGTTGGTTTAGTAGGTCAGAGGCAGAGCTGGCTCTGGTTTCAGGGCTAAAGTGTGTTTCTTTCACTGGCCCTTTTTAGCTTTGGGCTCTACTTTTAGGGCCAAGGCATATTTCTTTCACCGGATCTGGTTCCAGGGCCAAAGTGTGTTTATTTGGCTCTGGTTTCAGGGCTAAAGTGTTTCTTTCACTGGGTTGGGTTTCAGGGCCAGAGTGGGTTTCTTCGGCCGGTCCTTTCACCCTACAATATCCAGAAATATCAGCCTACATCACCCCTAGTAGAATCGGGTTCAGAAGGCAGAAGTGGTTGCAGTCTAGATTCCCAGTGTCTGGTCAAAGTCTATTTTGATTTTGCATAAGGAAGTGCCAGCAAATTACACTTTGACCTCCTTACATATTGTTACATATTGTTACCATAGTAGAGGAGAAAGAATCTGCTGGGACTCAAAAGCCCAGTGTCTGTTGTTTGTCGGAACTTACGGGAAAGTCATTTTACCAGTCCATTCTTAGTTTCCTGCTGTGGTTTTAATGTATGCTCCGGAATTCATGTGTTAGACACTCAATCCCAAAGTTTATAAGTCAATGACACTTTCCAGTGGGAGGTTTGTGATATAATCAAAGTTAAAAGAAGTCCACAGGGTGGGGCCTCCAGGATGGCTACAGTGTGGCTTCACAAAAAGAGAGGAGGGCCTCGGGCTGACATGCTTATTCTGCTATGGCATGTAATGCCCCCTCTGATGGTTACAGTATGGCTTTATCAAAAGGGAAGATGGCTTGGGGCTGATGTGCTTGTTCTGCTATGGCATGGGATGCTCTCATGACACAGTATGAAGCCCCACACCAGGTGCTGAGCAGATCCTCATACCATGTGTTCTCGTCTCTCCCGTCTACTATCTCGTCTACATCTCTATTATCATAGGTAGTAGATAATGGAGCCTTTGAGCTCAAACTCATAATCACCAGGGATGGGTTTGGAGAGGTAAGACCAAGGCCCAGGTTTGTAGGCTTTTTTGTCTTGTGCTCTTCCCACTGAAATAAGAGATCTGAGAACCCAGGTCTCAACTGCTCAGGTCACCTTCTCTTATTCCTGAATATTTCTTACAGAAAAGAAGATCTAGGAGAACAATATAGGGGTGTGTGTGTGTGTGTGTGTGTGTGATAAAAGGGAGGGAGGGAGAGAGAGAGAGAGAGAGAGAGAGAGAGAGAGAGAGAGAGAGAGAGAGAGAGAGAGAGAGAACTGTTTTTTTCTTTCCTATAAACCTTGCTCAGTATTGAGGGGCATTAACCTATTAAAGAGAATGTATGAGTTACTGGTAAGCATTACTAACACTCATATTGAGAATCACAGTGAAGACAAAAGTAACAGAACTCAGCATTTAAACTCAAGAGTAGAACATTAAATGTAGGATCAAAGGGATATAGGGCATTATAAATATTACACACACACACACACACACACACACACACACACACACACACACACACGGAAGCTGACTGGCCAATAGCTGGACAGAATTTGTTTAGGTGGGAGAACCAAAGAATATATATTTATTACACACACAGAGACAGAGAAATATATATATATATATATATATATATATACATGTATTAATGTAAGCGGAGTTTTTGTCAGGACTGCAGCCTCCAAAATAAATGCACAGAGACTTAATATTAAGTATAAATACTAAGCCAATAGCTCAGGCTTATTACTAGTTAACTCTTACAACTTAAATTAACCCATTTATCTTAATCTACATCCTGTCACATGGCATTACTTCTCCATCTTTCATCTCCGTTTCCTCTCTCTGTCTGTCTGGCAACTCCTCTGACTCTGCCCTTCTTCCCAGTGTCCTTAGACTGGTTCTCCTACCTAAACTTATCCTGTCCAGCTATTGGTCAGTCAGCTCCCTTATTAAATCAATCTCAGCGATATACATTCACACAAATATATATCACACAATTGGTTCAAACAATGAGTACTGAGAAATACACACACACACACATATACTATTAACTCCTACTAATGGTCCATGCCACATGGCTTCTCTCACTTCCATATATACATACATTCTGATTTGTTCAAACTTAGCAACCTTAGCAGCTTTCTTCTGTACCTTTTCCTGGCCCCTTTCCTTTCACTATTAAGGACTTGTTTGTATGGAGGGAGAAGGGCTTCAGAAATATCAAAGCATGTTGGGAAATGACCTTACTTACTTAGTGTCCAGAGTGAAGAGAGCGTGTGTTTTTGAAACTAGGTAAGTAAATTTTAAACATGCCAGGCACAAAATTGGCATAGTTAAAAACTGTAAATTCTAGGAATTTTGAGAATATTTCCTGGAGGCTGGACGAAAGAGAGATGTAAGTTTCCTTCTGTTGACTGCCCAGCCGGAGCTGTGCAGTGGGGTCTGGATTCCATTAACATGCTGTGGATCCTCCTTTCAGATGGCAGGGACAGCACGCCATGACCGTGAGATGGCAATCCAATCCAAGAAGAAGCTCTCCACAGCTACTGATCCTATTGAAAGACTGAGGTTACAGTGCCTGGCCAGGGGCTCTGCAGGCATCAAAGGACTTGGCAGGTAGGACGTGTCTTAGTTACTTTCCTATTGCAGTGACAAAACACTATGACTAAGGCAACTCATAAAAGAAAACATTTAATTTGGGGCTTATGGCTCCAGACAGTGAGAGTCCATGACCATCATGGCAGCAGGCAAACAGACATGGCATTAGAGTAGTAGCTAAGAGCTTACATCCTGATCCACAAACAGGAAGCAGCGAGGTATAACTGGGAATGGTGTGAGTTTTTGAAACCTCAAAGCATAGAGACACGTCTTCTCCGTTTTCTCCAATAAGGCCACAACTCTTAATCTTTCCCAGTTCCACCAACTGGGAGCTCAAAATTCAGGCATATGAGCCTATAGGAGTAATTCTCCTTCAAACTACCACAGTTGGGGATACAGTGAAAGGAAGTAGAAAGATCAGAATTGTCTAGGAGAGCGTTACACTGACTTTATGATATTGGGCAAGTCATTTTCTGTCAGGGACTCAGTTTCTTATCCAAAAATTCATTATGTGGGAGAGCTGATCTCTGAGTCCTCATGACAATGTTTTGTTCTTAGCCCCAAATTCAGCAAAGCATGTGTTGGTTCCAAGGAAGGGGAGCTCCTGGGGCAATTGAGGTAAAGGAAAACATGCCTAGGAGTACAGACACTTGGAAAGACAAGGAGAGAGGCTCTCCCCAAAACTTGGGTAGAAGAAGGAGGTAGGGCAATGATTTAAAAAAATTAGAAAATTAGGCATGGTGACATATGCCTGTTATCCCAGCACTTGGGAGATGGAGGCAAGAGGATCAGCAGTTCAAAATCATTTCTGGCTACATAATGAGTAGAGGCCAGCAGCCTTGGCTATATGAAATCTTGTCTAAAAGAGAATTTGGATTTTGCTCCCAGCCAAGCTGTCACGTCTGGCTTGCCACTCTAACTGCCCATGTGATAACTCAGTGTTCATCCCCAGGAGTGTTCTATAGTTCAGGTGATTTTTCTTGTATTCCCTGATATTTGATAGTGCAAGTAGACCTGAGTACTGAAAATCCCAAGGAGACTGTGAGCCTCCTAAGAACTGATCTTGTGTATTTTCACAAATTATAATGAATGTCTACAGTAAGCCTGGCCTTGTACATATTTGGGTGGCCTCGTGTGTGGACAAACTTCTGCAGGTCCCATGGAAGACTGAGACTAAGAGAGTAAATGTCTTATAAATGTGCCTTTCAGTGGTATGAGAAGATGTTTGATAAACAAGTACAGGATGTCTGTGTAAGGAGAATCCGACCTCACACTCAGAGGCATCACAAACTCTCAGACAGGTACTGGGCACCTAGGAAAGCTCCTCAAAGAACTCTCAAGAAACAAATACACAAGGCATCTCCATGCCTTCTTAAACTAAGCTTGGCTCTGTTACAGGTTCAGATGTAGATATACAGACCTTGCTATTCATGCTCTCACAAGCCACTTCCTTTCAGTAGTGTGTGGTTCCAACCTCTAAGTCCTCCATCTTGGGTTCACTTCCTTGTCTTCAGTGCAGACCTTTGAGGAACCCTGACTTGTGTTCTGCTAATGATCATGCAATTGGATGCTTCCTGCTACCCACGCCATTTCCACCTGTTGTGACCACTCCACCTCCATCTAAACTAGCCCTTCCACTGTGAGCTGCTATCATCTCACCCTGGGTTTCCTGTTTAACTGCCTTCTGTCTCCCTTGTTGTTGGCCTTGGTCTCCCTTCATCTGTCCTCAATTTATGTAGAGGGAAGCCCTTTCTCTACCCTTGCCTTAGGATCTATTGAAAGGCAGGCACCCCACGTTCTTCTAAGTCCAGACCCCAGGAGATATATCCCACAAACACAAACATTCTCACCAATCTTGCTTTTGAAAAACCACTCTTTAGTGAGTATCTGCCATTTACCAAGCTGCAGAGCACTCATTCTGTGAAACATAATGCTTGTGGAACCATCTTTCCATCCTGTCTTAAGTATTTATTCAGAAGTTCTATATCAAGATGATTCTCTTATCGTTTGGGCACCTTTCCTGTTTGACACTGAAGTCTGGAGAATTTCAATAGTATATATTCTTCCTTAAACACTTCCTACTAGCCAAGAAATATAGATAGCTCCTATTTCCATGGCTGATATCATGAATTCACCATTTGTCTTATGCACAGCTGAGAGAGCTCATCTTTACTCTGTCCCCTTGTATACATTGGACAAAAAAAATCATCTCTTGAGCTCTGATTTATATCTTATATCAGAAAAGACACTCTAAGTTTATAACTAATTATCAACTAGTGAAAATCTTGGGTAGTTGCTTTACTACCCAAAGGCAAGATGAACTAGTTCTTTCTGTAAATGGAGCTACCAACACTCATCATTTCTTGAGTTGGAAAATTGAGAATTATCTTCATAAGTTCACCACACTGATAGTTTGATTTCTACAGCATTTTGAGGTCTCCTCTCACATTGACATTTCAGATGCTTATGTGCAGACTCTCAACCTCTTCCCCGCAACATTATCACTGCTTCATTCACTGCCAAGTTTCTGTATTTTAATTCCTTCAACCAGCTCTTTCTAAGGGTCTCTAAAATTTTATCTTGTTGATATTCTGCTCATGAAATCTATGCAGTTACTTTTTAACATATAACAAGGTTTAAGCCCTTTAGAACTTATGGAGATTAAAATTCTTCATATTCTTCCATGGACCCACTTGTCCATATTTATTATATCTCCTTTAACCTTTGGTAGCTATCTTCTTGCTTCCGCAGATGGACAAGGAGTGTTGTACAAACTACTGTTGATCTGAAATGCTTCTCCTTGCCAGAACTCAGAATAGAGGATTGTCCCCCTTCTTCCTGTCCTTCTATCTCTGAATAAATTCCTAAGGGTAGAGTCAGTGTCTCATTCACCTATATATTTCATATTACAGTGTTTAATCCAATGTTTGGCAGTTTATAAAATGTCCAGCTGATGTTGAAGTTTGTTGAACAATCCAGGATGTATCAGCAATATATTATTTATTTCAAATTTATCTCTTAAAAAAGAAATTATCAGGGGCTGGAGAGATGGCTCAGAGGTTAAGAGTACCAACTGCTCTTCCAGAGGTCCTGAGTTCAATTCCCAGCACCCACATGGTGGCTCACAACCATCTGTAATGAGATCTTACATCAACATCTGTAATGCCCTCTTCTGTATACATAATAAATAAAGAAATCTTTAAAAAAATATCAGCCTATTTGTTGTAGCAGGAGAGTTTATTCACTAACTCATCTAGCTGATGAATATTAATGGATTGTTTCCTACACAGTAAATTTATAAAAATAAAAAACATAGAGATGGACTATGCTACCATATAGCCCATATTCAAGTCTACAAGTTGTACTTATTTACTTATTCAATGTCCAAAATACTCTTTCTAGTTTTTCAAATAAAATATGAGATATAAATGAACAAGTGTCTGGCATTTTATTTACCTTTCTGTTTTTCATTGCCATTCAGTGCAAAAGGTTTCACTATGTTATTTTACACATCTGTATCTCCATTCTTATTTATTCTCTCCCTCCTGTCCTCTTGTGTTTCTTTACTCCTTCTTGCTGGTCCACTTCCTCCCTACAGTCCAGCATCTGCTTTTAAGTCATTTCCATCTGAATCTCTCATAGTTACACAGAACTGGCAAAGAGAAAATTGTAGGTCGCAACTTAGAAATTGCACATTATTTTAGCATTAGTTAGAAATGAAGGGTCAACAGTGCAGACTTTTATGAAAAAGTGAGACCCAGTTATACTCAAGTTTACCTAGCTGTTGTTGCTGCAGAACTAGAAGTCAAGCTCATCTTTTTGAAATCCTAAATGATAATTCTGTCTGTTAGGATTCTAGCAAAAATATAATTCTTAGGGCTTTAGTATGGGAAGTGGTGTATGCTGTAGAAGAGAAAGAGTGGAAAAAAGTAAGATCATAACAGCACGGTATGATATTTACAGAAAGACCTTAAACATCACAAAATCAATGAAAAGACATACCATTTCTTTCATAAAAGTTGTAGATACTGTGTATTTGGAATGATTACATTCCTTGGCTATAACAGACGTGTTTCTAAGCAGAGGTTTCCTGTAGACAAAGCAGCATTTATATAGTTTATGTGGTCAATGTGCATATGGTGTAGAACTAGAAGCTTTATTTATGCTTGATATTAGTTTCTAGAGATTTTTACCAAGGTTCATATGATTAATAAAAAAAAAAAAACTATGCTTCAATTGCTTGTTTATATTTTTTTGGCATTTGTTGAAGTGAAAGATGAGGAAACTACAGATTTATTAGCAAACATGTATTCCAGAAAGGGTGACCTCTATTAATAGCTCTTCATTATTATAACGAGATACCAGGGATAATGAACTTATGAGGAGAAAAAGTCCATTTGGCTCACAGTCTCAGAAGCTTCAGTCTATGATCAATGAACTTCCTCGTTTTGGACCTGTGGCGGGGCAGAGCCTCAGCACGGGGTGCAAGCAGTAGGGGTAAAGCTGCCTGTTCTTGGTGGCTGGGAGGCAAAAAAGAAGCAAGCAGGCAGGGGCCAGGCAGTATCCTTTGCAAGGGTATGACTCCAGTTACCTGACTTCCTTCCAGTAGACACCTCAGCAGGCACTACCAACCTCTATCAGCACCAGTGTACCTGACAGCCAAGCCTTCACACTTAGATGTTCAGGAGGCAGAAAAGATAACTAATGTTCATGTCATGTAGTTAGAGTCAAACAATGCAATTGTCACCTTCTCTGTGTGTATGTGTGTCCATGCACAACGTGTGTCCAAAGGCTTGCTTGCCTGTAGGAAATGTTGAGAGCCTCTGAGCTCGATAGTGAGTCTGCAGGGAAAAAAATCTCAAACTCGTGTATTTTATTTGAAAGCAAATGGAAGCGGTTCACTTTTTGCATCTTCACACTTACACGTTGTTCTTTGTGGTTTTTTTTTTTCTTCATGTTGTTATCTTCAGAGTGTTTCGGATTATGGATGACAACAACAACCGAACCCTTGATTTCAAAGAGTTTTTGAAAGGGTTAAATGATTATGCTGTGGTCATGGAGAAAGAAGAGGCAGAAGAACTTTTCCGGAGATTTGACAGAGATGGAAATGGGACGATAGACTTCAATGAGTTCCTTCTCACATTAAGAGTAAGTATGTTCTTTATGTAGACCAAGAGGACCTCAAACTCACAGAGATCCGCCTGCCTCTGCTTGCTTACTTTGATTTGTTTCCTTACGTGGGGGAGGTGTTGCAGGGATGAGGGGAGGATATGGGGAGACCAGAAGGTGAACAGAATTGGGGTGCATGATGTGAAACTTCCAAAGAGTCTATAAATAAGTTAATTTTTTTTTTTTTTAAAAAAGAGTAAGTATGCTTCCCAACCCTTGCTCCATGAATCAGTGTTTTCTGTGGAGGAGTTTGACTTTCACATGGTTTGGGTTGGCTACTTCAAGGTTTTGTTTTCAAAACTTGCTAGTACATTTCAGAAGGGTGTGGGCAGAATATTGAACCAGCTGAGGGACTTTCTGAAGTATCTTATTTAGTGGCACATAAGCAATTTCACATCACTGATGGGAATATTGAATCACATCTGCTATAGAAGAGGCTCATTTGCATGTGTATTCATCCGTGTGTGTGTGTGTGTGTGTGTGTGTATGTGTGTGTGTTTATTTTTATTTTTTAATTTCTCTAGCCCCCAATGTCCAGAGCCAGAAAAGAGGTAATTATGAAAGCTTTTAGGAAGTTAGACAAAACTGGAGATGGCGTCATAACCATTGAAGACCTTCGCGAAGTTTATAATGCTAAACACCATCCGAAATACCAAAACGGGGAATGGACAGAGGAGCAAGTGTTCCGGAAATTTCTGGACAACTTTGATTCACCGTATGACAAAGATGGGCTGGTAAGTGAAAAAGATGAATCCAGATGGAATTTATCTACCCCCACTGAAATTGTAAAGGAGGAATAGGTTCAAAGCCTTAAAAATCCTCAAATGTTGACACCATAACTATTACAAATAGAAGGAAACATTCCTTTGGGGCCATCTGAACTGTTAATTAAAAGTGGAAAAATATATCTTTCAAACATGTACTGAGACAGACATATCTTTCTTGGTTGGGGATCCACGAGCTGCTAATTGCTCATCATGGAAAATGTGTTGCTTTGAACATCAGCTCATCTCAATGTTACTAGACTCCCCATGTTCAGCTAGCTGTATTCTCATGAATTAGATTGCAATAAAAAGTGTGCTTCATTTTAAACAGGACCAAAATGCTTTGGAACAGACATGCAAGGCTTTTCAGGATGTTTGGTTCCTTTTACCCTCGTCCTTAGGGGTATCATTTGCCATCACACTCTGCCGTGTGACAAAGCAGCTGTTGGTAAAGGGAATCCCAGAGAGCAGAATTTACCCTGACTCATGCTTTAGTCAAATTTGAGATTAGCTAGCACACTTAAATTACAGTGAACTTCAAGGCAAAAACAACCACTCATTTTCATTTTAGTTGCCTTCAACTACATAAAATGTTGTATATTGGAAGAGATGGGCTAAGAGCCCTGTGCTACCTGTTTAAACACTATGAGGCAGTTTTTGTCTTAGAGGACCTGAGAGTTATTGTGATGGGGGAGGGGAGGCCCTCAGCCTCAGTAGCAGCAGCACCTCTTAACCTTTGGGTCATACTGGAAAAGATAAGTGGGACAGTGACTAGGAAAGGGCGGTGCTTATGGGAAGAAGAAACATGCCTCCTCCCTCTAAAGGGAATTTCCCCTCCCTTTCCCATAAAACCTGGTGGCTTGTCTTATTATCAAGGGGCAGGAGGTAGGAAGGGGAAGTTTCTTTCCTCTTGACATTTCACAGTCAGAGATGGAGAAGTAGTTGAAGTAGTGTCTTGTAGGATGAGGAATTGTGACAACAGATACAAAAGAGTTGCAGCTTCTGTTGGGCAGTCAAATGTCTAGGCCAGAAATAACAGAACTGTATGTTTCCTCTAGTCCTGCTGCCTTTGATCTACCAAGATGTCAGAGAAAAATAGCCAACTGCCATTTCCCCTAATAGCTCAACTCTACATGAGTCCCTGTTGTTTCTGGCTCTGTCTGCAGGTGGTTCCTCCTTGTCACCAGGGAAATGTCAGCTGCCTTTGACTCTAAGTCCAAGTAACCATTTGTGACTCAACTGATTTAACGTCCCCATTTCAGCTCCTTCTGACATTTATCTCTATCAGCCACGTTGATCTCTCAAACTCTCAAAAGGTTATTGAGGGTTTTTTTTTTTTTGTAATTACAGTATTTGATGTTACTTGAATACCATAGACCTTGTAATAATGTTGAATATTAGCTGTTCATTATCATTGGGTGTGTGTCTTAAAAACTCAGATTACTGGCTATACTGAGGAACCACGAAGTTTGACATTTGGGGAGATGTAACCCCAAGTCTTTGTATACTTAGTGTATAATCTATTGGTGCTTGCACAATCCATATTTGAGATACTTAGATCTAGGATACTTAAAAAGCCTTATTTTTATTACTAAACAAAATATATATGCAGCCTTATTTAGTATGACAATGAATATGAACAATGTTTATTGAACACTTATCAACTGGCTATTGTGCTAAGGGCTTTACAAATATCTTATTTAATAGACATAATAAATGTGTTCATAAAAGTGGCTCAACCTTTTCTGGGTTCTGGGAATTAAACCCAGGTGCTCTTAAAGAATAGCCAGTGGTCGTAATGCTGAGCCATCTCCCCATCTTAATAACATCTTAAAAACATAAGGAATTGTAGATACAAACAAATCTATGGCAAACTCTTTCATAAAGACAATAGTTCCTATGTGTATGCTATTTATTTGTGTTTACAGATGGGTGACCACAGATCTACTATTCACTGAGTTCAGTGTCATTTTTTCCTGGTACCTTTCACTGGTTTAGAGGGAGGAGGTTTGGGAATCAGTATAGCTAGACATTGTAAGTCACATAAATATTTTTGGTTAACTTACAGCTTTTTTAAAAAAAAATTGTTCAAGGAGCCCCTATAGTAAATAAAAGAGATATTAATGGTCCCAAAGACTGGTGAGACATATTAAGCTGTTACAGACTAGAAACGATTCTCCAGTTATTTATGAGTTTCCTTTCTTGTGATGCTTTTAGTCTTTTGACTTAGAGGTTGGCCAACTCCTATTAACTCATAAGACTTCCTTTCTTTTTCCTAAAAAGAGAGTCATCTCATCCATGGCATGGATAGACACCTCTGCTGATATTCCAAAGACAGTCATATGCACAGAGTGGAGAGCCTGGGGATGGGGGTGGGAAGAGAGGAACAGCTGGTAATGTTTTTGCTTACTCTCAGCCTTGAATGAGCAATTCATACCTGTAAAATGCATGCAAATCACATCACACATTTTACTAGAAATTGCTTTCTTTACCCATAGGAAAAAGCATTTCTTGAAAAGTGAGACACTGTTTATCCTGACATTGGACATGGCTTGCTTCTGACATGCGCCAGAAGGACAGTATTAACTGCAGCTAAAGAACACCTACAGCTACCAGTTCTTAAAGAAAAGATGACAACCCATGCCTCACTGTCCACTTAGGGTGGCTTGGATGTTATCAAGGCTTATTTCTGTCCTGAGCCCCATTCACCACTGACCTTAACTTGGTTTGGTCTTTACTTTTGTTTTAGGTCTGTTCCTCAGCTGTAATCATACACAGCAATCCTTGGTGGTAATGCCCCTTTTCTTTACAGGAATGGAAGAGAGGTCTCCACTAATAAAAGAAGCAAAGTGTCCTTTCTCTTTCTAACTTCACTACAGGTGACCCCTGAGGAGTTCATGAACTACTATGCAGGCGTGAGTGCGTCCATTGACACTGATGTGTACTTCATCATCATGATGACAACTGCCTGGAAGCTCTAAATGCCTGACCCATGGAGACAGCCACGTAACTCCAAATGATCAAACCTCAACCCCCAAACTCAGAATGATATTTTATTACATGTTCATTGCACAGCTTCTTCTTTGCCAACACAGTATATTTTCTAGGGCTGACATAAGAGCAGAAATAAAGTCACTAAGTAATTAACTGTGGACTTGACTCCTCTGACACTGTTTCCTTATCTCTAAAATAAGAATTACTAAAGTTACAACTCTAAATTTTCTAACACCGTGGCTGTGTCATGCAGGTATTCAATCAACTTGGAATGTCGCTCTTGGTCATCAGTGAAATTTTGAATATTGTAACTATGACCTTGTTTGTCCAGAAAGCCAATATATTTTTACCTTTAAGCTACGTGTGAGAATCCCTCTATTTGTATAGTGGTAAAATCTTAGGGGATTTAGTCTCGATTTTGGGACCAGAAAGATTATACTAGACTCATAATTTCTGCAAGTGAATCTGGAGTTTCACTCCTCAGATCTATGGAAGCCTCCTTTTGGCAAACAGAGTGAACATGAAGATTGGATTGTTGGTTTCTATTGGTTTTAAAAATACTGATGTAAGAGTGGAGGCCATTTTGTTGAATGGTAGACCTATGCTCTAGTCCTCCCTGTGGCTGGACTTGTGAGCTTATGCTGGACCCTACCATTTTATGTGGAGCAGCTTCACTGGGGTAACTAGCAAACTTTCTTTTGGTACAGTGTTTATCTAACTCTTCCCTATTGTCAGCCAACCATGAAGACAATTCTGTTTACCCAAAGAGGATGGGCGTGACCCAGACTAAAATCATAGAACATTCCAAAACAGATTCTTCATGATACTTGATGCTTTATGATTCAAATCCTCCTTCCAGCACTCATCACTGCTTGTATATTATTGACATGAGAGAATCAACCCATGAGGGACAAATAGATATAAAGGAAGCCTCAGAAAATGAGCTGAAGCTGCAGCTCCTGCTCTTCATGATCTGTGCTTGGGGGCCACAGAAAACATAGTGAGTAAATTCTGGTTGAAGTGCTGAGATGAATTCCTAGCGGCTTTTGTTGCTCAGAAGTCTTTTCTACAAAGCCCATCTCTGGCTGTCTCTGTGCATTGGTTTAGGGACATGAATTTAGTTGATGGTGTCTTCAAGATCTTCTGGATTTAGGTGGTTCAATAGAGTCTGAAGATACTTCGTAATTTTAAATTTTACTCCCATTATTTACCTTTTATCTTACACACTTCTTTAAGTTGAGATCAGGATAGATATTAATTTAAGACCTGTTAAAATAGGTGTTACAGGATGAGAATTATATCAGTTCTTTCATCAGTGCATCTTGCTTTGTTTCTGTTGGGGAAGCTCAATTTATTTATCTTAATGGCTAGCTGGAGAAGAGGCTTTTTATCTTGAGATTGGGCGTGTCTTCATATCATAGAAAGTCAGCTTTCTCCCCATTAATTATACAAGCCATGCTTTCCATGGATTTACTAACTAGTCTTCTGTAGAGGACGGCAGGGCAACCGATACCAAATGTAATGAGAAAATATTTAGAAATCACATAGAAAGCACAAATATGTAGGAAAGTATCATTTTTAAGCATGTGCCCTGCAAAGTGTAGTTAAGGAGAAGTCTGCTATTTCCTAAGCATGGTGGGTTTCCAGCTTACTGCTCTAGATAGATTTGTGTCGTTGATTCTGGGTATGACTCATGTCTTGCTTAACGCAGGCTACAGAATGAGCATGTGATTCTGAGCAGAGCCTGGGTTGCAGCTATCAGCTCTGTCTCTTTCAGTGATATTTTGCTTCCTGTCTAATGAGGGTACAGGGTACAATGATCTGATTTCAGATAACTGTTGTGAGAGATTTGTACACCATGTGAAGGTGTATTGCAGTGGTTGGTGTAATAAAAAGCTGAAGGGTTAAGAGCTAGGCGAGAGGAGTATGCAGGTTTCCAGGGAGAGAAAGGAAGAAGAGGAGGGATCTAGGTGCAC